GAGCGGAGCAATCGAATCCGTAATCTGTCGAAAACGAAGAGAGCTCGTACATTTCCCTCCGCAAAGTTGTATGAAATAATTAATCGGTTAACGGATAGCGAGAGATTTGATTAAATTAAGGAGTTACGATGAATCACGGTAAGAGCCGGTTTTGCGAGAGCCGCCGTAGTCTCATCACGCTCGGTATTAGGAAGATTTAAAACGCGCGCACGGCAATATTTCTTGCCGCGGCAATATTTCAATAACGCCCGCATAAAGTATCGCGGTCCGCCGATACAGCCCCTATATTCAAAGGCCCCTATCAGTCCTGCGTCGTGAGCGACATTAAATCCGCGCGCCGATCGAAACGACGCTCTTTTTCGAACGAAAGTCGAGCAGAAAACTTCGTTGTCCGCGGAGATGTCTGCCGCCGACAGAACGTTCATTAATGCCCGTGCCTGCTTGTGATCGCGAGAGAGAGAAGAAAGACGTCGCGACATTGTTATCCACGGTCGGACGGTTTATCGCAAGGTACACCGTCGACATCAATATTGTACATCCGTAATGCGACAAAGCAGTGCGATAAAGAGATTAATGCGACAATGCGAACAAAAAAAAATACAAGACGCATATACAGGGTAGCATCCTCTGCTGCTGGGCGGGTGGTACGCACCGCGTGATAATCAACCACATGACAACATCGCGATCGAAAATTTCATAAACACGAAACCATATGTACGCTTTATTTCGGGAATTCCGCGTACGGGCGAAACTCACTTTGGACAGCAAAATTCAGCACGAATGGTACAAATGATAACACTCGTCGTCGCTGTGTTGGATTCCCGCGGTATCGCGCTGTTTGGAACAAAATGGTAAACTTGTTACCGAGAATGGCGAAAGTTCTCCACACCGGAAAACTGAATGCGTGTGTGTGTGTACAAATTTCAACATTGATAATTCGTATTCAAATCGCGCTATCGAACTTGTCCTAGGGCTGTTTTTCGGCCATTTCGCGGGGAGCGGGCATGTTGTATGAAAAAAATTACTATTTAATTAACTCGCATAACGTGTATGTAACAGCACGAGAATTTAATTCACCGACCGCAATATCGACGTGGTTGCGCGCGTGAAATTATGCCGGCACGGCACCGAGAGAGGAAGAAAGAGAGAGAGAGAGAGAGAAAAGTATTTGAATACGCGCGAATGTGTCGGCAGGTCGCGGACGTTGCCCGCGCAGAGCAACATACGCGGGCAAGGATTAGTTAAACGGTCAATGTTTAACTACGGCCCCGTGTTACGCAACTACAATTTGGCGACTTCGTCCGTGAGAGCAAGACGGCAATAAAATCCACTTTACTAAAAGCACAGCCGAGAGAATTAATTCGGACGGGCTATTACTCTCCAGCCGGATGTCGCGTCATTAACGCCTCACCATGTAACTATGCCGTGCGGCAAATTATTCGCGAAGCTGTCGGCGGCAGTATGAAATAGTTCCGAAACGTATACACTCCATCGTGTCTGCCCGTATTATTATTAATATTATTGTTGTTACTATATCTTCCAGCTCTCGAGGCCTCGCGCCTCTTGATGTAACGTAATTCTCCGTAATGAGACGCCGTACGAGTCGTTCGGCGTAACGGTATTTGCGATTTATCGCGACGGAGTACGCTTAATGAAGCGTAAAATCGCTGAGTGAGTTAAAGCGATCCTGCGCTGACTGCTTTTCTATTCGGCCGCGATTGATGCTGTGTCGAACTGGTCGGTAAGGTAATTAGCGACGAAAAACGGACGCGGAATCGAGAAGAGGCGAAGGTGTGCCGACCGTGCCTTTGTGTGCGCGCGGGAAAAAGGAAGCGCTGCCCATTAGAATGCAGTGTGTTGGTCTGCAATCAGATCAGTGCAGGTTCCTAACTAAGAGGGGATCCAACAATAGCGAAGGATATAAACCTGTGTTGGGACAATTGATATTTTTGCAAATGTATCCGATATTCATCTTGAACGTTTGCGGATTTACAAATACGAACGAGCGCGTATCATTTTCGAAAGTGCTCGTAAAAATCGATCCCTGTTAAATAAATGTCAAAATTTGTGTCATCACGACGGGATAAGTTTCACCTGTCAAGTTAAACGTTGCTGTTCTCGAGTTCTTTCATATTTTTGTTAACAACGAAAAGATCTCAGCGCGATTACTTGAGAGGGGAAAGAATCGAGCGAACAAACGGAGGCTGTTTCTAACCATTCCTAGCTGTGCGACGCATTCGAACGCCAGGCACGTGACTTTGTTACGAGATAATGCTACTTCCGAATTTATACCTAACCTCCGCCTTAGAGACTCCGGTTTCGGATTCCCTAATTAACGAACGTGAGGAGACAAAGCGCGATCGTCGCCAAAGGGAGAGCACGCCGTGTCAAATATAATTATATTCACATATTCCGAATATTATATTATTTTAATACTCGGCCAGAAATTTAGATCGAACGAGAAAATCTGGGAAATTCATATCCCAGGTCTTAACCGTTTTTCTTTTTATTCATATAAAATCAGAAGCGGCAAGATTAAAGCATACCTTCAAAGATCTTTCACGATAGAAACAAATATTAGCGTTAGGAAAGCAAGTTTTTGTTATCTTCCGTTCTTATTTCGCCTTTTGACCCAAAGGTGGATTTAATTTAAGAGACAATTACTGATTAAAAATTGAAAGATGTCTGAAAAGACAAAGATACGCGATATATTATGATACACGCGAGACAAAATTGAGCAAGAAATGATCGTGCTCATTAAATATTAAAATTCGATCGAAACGAGTGCAGAAGGTAAATGTAGCCCCCTTATCGAGGTCCGGATAACAAAGGACTACAGAGGAAATCCCGGACGATGTTAAAAGCGCGCCTAAACGCCCGGCGACAAAAGGTCAAAGGATCGAATATCCAGATAGCCCGCGGTAATTTGAATGCGGTAGTTTGAAATAAAAGGTCACACGAAAGGCAGGACAAAAAGGACCTCTGTGTACAGACGACGTATGGGCGGCTAATGGAAGCCGGAGGAATCATGGAAAGAGGAAGAAGCACGGGACACGCGGGGTGATCAGGGGAAAGAGAAAAGGCGAATAAAGGGGGTGGGAAACGAGAGAAGGGACGGGGTGGATTCGGACGAAGCGACAGAAGAGAAGACTCGATTACACGTCACCAGCAGCCCGGAGCCTATTTGGTCGCAATCGGTTTTTCATTACCAAAAGCCTCGCCCGGCTTTATACCAAATTGTACATTCGGCGACCCTTATAAAACTCATCGAGATCTCGACGGACGGCATTGGAAGCGCGGGTGGGCGGACGCATAATTGATTACCTGGTATATTCCGCGCGTGCTGCCTATAACTTCCGACGGACTCGAAATAAAAGAACGGCGAGAGCCGTTCGAGCGCCGTTCACGTCGAATCCTCGGCTCGCGGAAATGGATTATGTGTCAAAGTTAATGCGCGGTAAATCGACATGCGGATCACATTCACGAGATTCGTGCATTTCTCGCCGGTTTCTTCGCCTGTGATTCTCTGTCGCAGTTTTCTGGAAAAAGGACGTATCTCACACGAGATTGCGATTCTTCTTGTTTTCTTTTTCTTTTCTTTCATTTGAAAATGAGCAATGAGCGTGAGAGCTACTTCGATGCGAGGTAAAAGTACCTGAACAGGTACCTAAGATCATTCATGTCGGTCTTTAAATAGGAATGTTTAATCTTCAAATATAAAATATTTGTATATATTCAATGTATATACATATATTCTGTATTGAAATTTTGAATATCCGTACCAAAACAACGAGAGTTAAGTACGTATCCAGGCATTTTTATTTAAGTATTGTTATCTTACAAACATCAAACGATGCATAAAAGTTCGTGATCGTATTATCATTATTATTATTATTATTACTGTTATTATTATAATAATTTTCTTGTCACTTTGACGTCATTTTGATTTTCTATTTTGTCCGCCCAGGCAACGTAATATCTAAAATCATGACATGAGATGTTCGATGTTTTTAAGACGTCTTAAGGACATCTTATGTGCCGATTTTACACGTTATGTTGTCCGGGTAAATGTATAACCTATAAGCCGCGCTACGTCTGACTCTGCAACAGCATCCCATCATAAGAAGTTATAATGGCTTCGAAGATCAGTATTTCAGGTTAAGTCAATTTCACGAATCCCGAAACTTCTATCGTGACGCGCACAATCATTAGCAATAGCCGAAATTAGATACTAATTATTATACACATACCTGTATTAATTTGTCCATTTGATAGCTCGATTGGCACTTTTAATACTCGATTACACGAGAGAAAATGATACAATTATTGTCGGCAATTAGTACGGCGGACATTAGTTATGGTATCGACAGAATGTCCCGCGTACGCATAGAATATCGCGATTACGAACCGCGGATTATGACGCGACAAACGGCGGTTATTTATTACCGCGAGCACTGATTAACACTTTACAACGATCGTCCAGCACTTTGTTCGACACTCCTATACCCATTTGCATGCGAGATTGCTTCTTAACGAGCAAAAAACCACGAAAATGTTTGACGAAACCACTTTGCTGTGACTTTGTTCCGGCGTGAAATATAATTATAGCCAGATAAAAACTCGGGGGCAATAACAAATTCTCGCGTCCACGCATGCGCAGTACTTTGCTGCTTCCTAATCGTAAGACCCGTAATTCTCCGGTGGTAACAGAGGAGAGTCTTGTTTCTACCAGATACTTTTCATTTATCAGTACAAGTCGGCAGAGAGGCCGACTTTTTGTCTCATTTGGCAGACGAAAGTACATGACCTGCCATCTTCAAGTGACACAATAAAGGCTATAAACGTTCAACGTGCTTCGTTTGAATTGGCTCGGTGCCAATTACGGGTTCGGATCTTTGCTAAGTAAGGTTTGAATCTTGGATAAGTAACTCGTTATCTCTATGATGATTAATTCCAAAGTCTCTACTACGAGTCGCCACCGTCTTCTACTCACATTGAGCTCGTAGGATACGACGCATCAAGCGGACGGATTATATGTGTGTGTATGTTTGTAATCAACAGCTGACCGGTGTTATTTTGGACAGAGACGAGATACGCATAAATTTAATAGTGAAATCACAACCCAGCAATATGTTATTGTCATTTCCTTCTCTATCGTGAAAAACATGTAAAGCAAGGTTTGCCAGAAATCCCTAAATAAGTGAACTTAGAAAGGATGATTCAGAATTGATAAAGGTTTATCGTAAAGATATATAAAGTGTAAAATTATATCAGAAGTGTTACACAAGAAATATGTCAGACTTCGAGAAAAACATGTAAAGCAAGATTTGCTAGAAATCTCTAAATAAGTCAACCTTGAAAGGATGATTGATAATTGATAAAGGTTTATCGTAAAGATATATAAAGTGTAAAATTATATCAGAAGTGTTACACAAGAAATATGTCGGACTTCGAAAATCTAACAATCAAGCAACCCATTAGACGCTTAGAAATCCAGATTAATAATTTTAAAGTCGCTATTCCACATCATGTCGATTTGTTACAACGACACAAGAACAACATTAGAAAGGTACGTGTTTCGTAGTCTACAAACTTTTGCAGTTTTCTTTAATGCTTCTTACAGTTGGACAAACGATTCGGTTTTTTCTTACAGTATCAAGAACAGCGTGATTGGGAACGAATACAAAGAGAACATGCGAATGTCTCTCGAATTATCAAACAGTTAAAAGAATTATTGTATCAAATGGATACTCTCAGAGCACAAGTGCTCGACAATGATATTGAACAATTTGACAAACTAACCGCAAATGCACGAACAAGTATTATGGATGCAATCAAAGAATATTTAGGTAAGAGATATAACATGACGATTCTGGTCGACACAAAAATCAAAATGTTGAAAAATCAGCGTTCATATAACATTATAAACATGCATTTACAGAAATGGAGTTAAATTTGTGGTTAACACCACCGTCGACACCAACAAATACAAGTGAGTTGCCACATCCACTTGCTAATGTCCAATTACAAGTAGAACAGGAAGATTTGCAGCATCAACAAGATTGTTTGCAAGTCTGGAATTCTTTGCAAGGAGATATACAACAGCTGCACGAACTTTTCGTTGAGTTTGACAAGGTTGTAAATGTGAGTGCGTGATTTCATGTAATAAAATTTTAAAATAGAATTAATATTGCTGCTAAATTTGGCTAAAAGAGAAATAATTTAAAAAAAATGATATATATATGTATGAATATGCTGATATATATATATATATATATATATATATATATATATATATATATATATATATATATATCAGCTTAATAAGCTTACTATATACTTTATATATATATGACAACGCACATATATCAGCAAATTTTTTTTTACAAATAGGATCAGAAAGAAATGATAGTTAATACGGAAAATAACATTGAAGAAACCCAGATAAATGTAAGGAAGGGTGCAACATTTTTGGAGAAAGCCTCAAAATATAAAACTGCTGCTTACCCTCTAGCAGGCGCTTTGTTAGGTACATGTATAGGAGGACCTATAGGTTTGATAGCAGGATTGAAAATCGGTGGGCTTACTGCAGCAGGCTGTGGTTTTTTAGGTGAGTTTGGCATGAATTTATTTCAATTCTAAATTGATATAGAATTCGTTAATTCTATGTCCTATATCGGATCAGGATGTGTGAGAAATTATTGTGCAATTAAGTTATGAATATAATAAGCTCAAATAGAAAATAAACATAGTAGACATATTTCTCTCTAGGTTTTACGGGAGGAGCATTGTTGAGGAAGAAACAGATAGATTCACATAAAGTAGAAACGCTTTCTAACGATTCAGTTACCGATGCCACAAATGTTAAAAAATCTGCCTCTTGTCCTGAAAATTTGGAAATGGACAAAAAGCTATTGTGACAGAACGTTACTTCGTCAAAATGTGATATTAGTGTTAAACGTAGAAAGAAATGTAATATTGTGTAATTTTTAATCATTACGATATTTGTACGTTTCATTGTTTTACATTTTTATCTAGTTTTCTTGTTTTTAACATTTTTGGCATCGTACCTATAATTATTTTTTTATTATTATTGGGAAACAATTAAAATAAGTTTGTACAACTGATTCAGACTATATATTTTTCTAAAGTATAGACGGTCTATTTTGCAACGTATTGTGAATTCACCATACTTTGCATATCTTCGTAGAAGTGATCATTTGCAATAAATACACAGCTCGTAAATTCTCGTCGTGCACGGCCATGTTCGAGTTAACGGTAGGTAGATTTTGTTTTACAAAATAATGACGTTAGTATGCCTTTCGCGTGCCTTCTTATCGCTTCAAGCTACTCAATATATGTATCGTGTTTAACGATATTTTTTTGGTAGCAGTGGTAGCCTTGTATATTCGCTTATCTATAAATTACTACGGTCACAGCCATGTATGTTTCCGAGTAAAAGTTAGTAAAACGACACAAGTGCACATGATGCATTGCGTTTGTAAAATAAATGGCTATATCAATTTACGATATTTTTTTATCACGAGGTACTTTACACTTGAAACGGACTAAGTTGAATTATTTGGAAGAAATTACTTTCGACGCTCATCAACATAAGAAATGTACATTGAATAAGATATAATAGCTTTTTATATAAATTGACGAAATTCACGTGCGTAGATAGTTGAAACTACAGATATTTTACTTTCTATAATAAATATGATATTGTAAGAATATGCGATTGTAAGAATCGAGCGAATCGTATGAATCTCTTACATATTATAATTATATACTGGGAATGTGATAATGTGGGAAAATAACACTCGTGAAGAAGTTGAGTTCTCTACAAAAGGCACCCAATACAGTATATTTAGCAAGTAATAAAATACATCGGTGTTAGACACGGTACAATACTGAAATAATCGTGTTATTAAATGTAATATATACATTTCATTCATAATGAAAATACTTAATCTATAGGGACTAAAGAGTGTTCTATATACTTAAAAAAATATTAATAAATATCTAAGAACGTGTGTGTGTGTGTGTAATATTAAGTGACTATCGGCATATCTTCTCTTACAAGGTACTATGTTATTATTAATGTTACTCCAACATCCCTACTTCAAAAGCAACACCAAACACGCATTCAGACTTGTGGAAAATAGAAATTGCTTACTTTCTTTCGCTTAGTCTTACTTTCGAAGATAAGGGATGCTCAACCAGGTGCACCGCCGATGTACGTATGGCATACTCGTGTCATAATTTAAATTCGAGTGAACGCAATTAAATACTTTTGATTGCAAATTATTGTAAATTAATATGATTAAGTTTAATCCATAACACAGAATGCAGGGTGCATCCGACTGTGCCAAAAACTCTTTGCAACATCCTATGATCTACGTTTACGCTTCTAAATACTTAGACTTTTGTCCACGAAATATGAAATAAACAGTTTGGTCACTATCCATAAGGTATACGTACGATACCTTGGCAGACCTTGGCAATAAGGATGGCTAATTAACCGTCTTACTTGGAAGCAGTGTGTAACAATGCAGAATCAGACATATCGGCAATAGTTATTATTTCAATATGACGTTTACTCGAAAGATCCACGGATTCGATCGTAGTTTCTTTTAATCAAGTATATCTCTCCAAAGTTGCTTAATTAATACAAATCATATATTATTGCGTGTGTTTTAATTAATAATAATAATCTGTTATATCTACAAGTGATACTTTCAATTAGCTGTTATTGCAGGCGAAGTGTCACGAGCGATTCTGCATAGTTGAACCAAAACGGATTTGTCGAAAAAAACATTGGAATATGGAGTGTGTGGATTGTCTTAAGGCAAGCTTACCATTTTAATTGATCCTAAGCTGTTCCAAAACATTTATCCACACATGTATCAAAACAACTTTATTCCTTAAACATAATAGTATTCCGTAAAAAGAAATTTGGCTTTCTAGTACAGGCCAGAGTTAGGTTTACATCTACGACGGGTGATAAAAGGTTTTACAAATGACTGACATAAAAAGAATATTATATATATATATATATAATCTGAAAATTTTATATATATATATATATATATATATATATATTTATATTTATATATATTTATATATATTTATATAACTATATCGATTATATTACCTATGTGGCTACGTCGTATAAACCTTTAATATTACATTATATTACAAATTGGTATGTATGTGTGCGCATTGATTTGACATTCCTGAACATGTAGTCCACAGTTAAAACTTAGTGGACGCATCATCGAAATAGCCACCGATAATGGATGGTAGTAAGGAAAATATATATTTTCTGCTATACGAAAAACTGCATCTCTAAAACGATCATATATTTCCCTTAATATAATAAATCGCGAACACAATGTGTGGAGTTGGAATATTACTATTTTATTTTATAACTATGATATAAATAAAAATATAAAATTATCGTAAAAGAGTCACCGGAAATTTATATGGGATTTCCCGCCGCTGTAATCAGGAATGCCAGTGAAAATGAGGATGGCGACCGGTGCATATCGTTTATGGTACTGTAGCATATCCCGACATGCAATCTCTTACATTTGGTAGCACATGTCTATCTAGTGTAGTCTTGAGCACATTTGTGAAATTAATGACAGCATAAGAAAATACAGGTATGCCATTACTTCAGGAGAGTTCTCGGTGAGTTTTACAGGTAACGGCTACACACATCTCACACAGGTCTGTGGATTTCGAAGCGTATCAAAAGATAGATTCACAGACAGATGAGATTCAACTTGGGAGCTGCGAACGCCAGTAGTAAAATTCGGTACCATCTCCGCAGCCTTAGGACAATAACCTACGTTTATGTAATGCGATTACAAGTTCGTAGCTGGGCACACGTGTTAAGCGTAATGCGGCGAATTGCTACCGAATTGCATGCGGCTTGGTATTCTTTCCCGTTACGTCGTTAAACTATCAGTTGCTCAAGGCTGCAAATGTCGCCCTAATGCTACAGTACGCGTGCGACGATATTGCCTCATTGCACCTAACTAAATATGCCACGACGATGTATTACGTTTATCGTGAACGTAACACAAACTTGCGAGCGAATTGATGATACACATTATCGCTTCGTCGCGACTGTTCCCCGTGTCGAGGATTCACAGGTTAATAGACATGTCTTGATCGTAAGATGTGAGATTCGTGTCGGTCGAAGATGCGGGCGTAACTGTTGCCGCCGTCGCGCTGGTCGGTGACTGTAATGGGGTGGAAGTCGTAGGTAGGTGAGACGTAGGGCTCTCCAAGGTTGAATTCCAATGACTTCTCTCGGTACCGTCACCCCCGTCGTCCGACACGATCGAAATATCAGCGATAATGCCGCTTTCTGTAGCAAGAAAGATACACGCGCAATAAGAAAGACTTGTCGCAGACCGATATCTGATGTAAGACTTTCTTAAAATCGATTTACATCGAGACAAAGAGATGTGAAAACTACTGACCGACGCTGCACTGGCTGTTAAGCGTAGTACTGCGATGATGAGGTCGTGGACTCGTATCCAATCCGAGATTGAGTGTGGTGGGAGGACCGCTACTTCCACCGCTGCTCGAGGACGAACTAACGGAGATGACGCTATGCGGCCTCCTGCTGCAACGACTGGAATCCTCCGACATCGACACCGCTATGGAGTTCCTAAATCTGGGTGCTGCGAACAAACCCAAGTTGTTGTCTCAGTATTCGTCGACGTGAAGGAATAAATTTCTTTTCTCGTGAAAAAGGAACACGATCATTGTACTTACTCTTAGAGAGTTGAGCTACACTGATGGAGCGATCATTAATCTGATCCGCACTAGGCCTTATATCTAAACACGGTTTATTCCCAATGCCCATGCTCGACATCTCCGCCAGGCGCACTTCTAAAAAGAACAAAAACGCCGTAAATTATTAATCGTTCTCGGGCGGCTTTACCCGAGAAACGACGAACGAGGCAAAGTTGACGAGCCACCTCTGTTTCGAAGCGCCTGTTTCCACAGAAGATTGCTAAGTTCCTCGGTCCAGGCCTTCTTGATGTCCTCGCTCGCGCACTGGAGCGTGTACGTATCGCCCGGTTTCCGCTTGCGGAACCAGATCTCGAATTTAGTGGGCGAATCCGCTATAACGGCGGTCAGACCGATGTCCGTCGTTTTAATGCTATGTTTGTAGATATAAATGTCAAGATTCTGGAAAAAGGAAACGTGTGCGCATCAGTAACGTCGGATGTGGAAATAAGAAAGCGGCGCGCACGCAGAAGTCTGCACACGCATCCGCGCGCAATCTTACCTTCCTGTCGGGGAATCTTCTCGCTTTACTGAAGAGTATAAGATCTTCGAACAGGAAAACTTGACGCAGGCACTTCTTGCCCTTTCCTTGCCAGACTAAAAACTCGTTTTGCCGCAGTAGTCTGCCTTGTTCTTTTACGTTTACCTACGAAGAAAGATTACATCTTGCGCGACGAACTAGAATATTTACGATGGCCTTTTTGTAGACGCGCAGATTTCGTTTATTCGCGTCTCGCGAGATAAATTCTTGACTCTTTTCTCCCGTTAATTTCTTTGTATTAATAATAATAACAACTTTATCGGCCGGTTATCCCGATAACAATCTGTTAAAGTAGTATAATGCAAAAATGAAAAAAAATTAAAAAATGAACCAATATTGGAATCAATAGGCGAGATAAACAGCATTGTGGCTACGTAGATATGATCGCCTTGCTAATCGTAATGAAACGGGAGACATACGTCACAATCGCGTAGCGAGTCCATCGCCAGGAGGTCGTTTCCGTGCCGCAGCTGAAATCGCACCATCTGCTCGGCGGCCCTTAAATCCGCCTCGCCCTCGACCATCGGTTTCATACCGTCCTCCTTCTCCTCCTTCTCCTCCTTGCCGGACAATTGCTCCGACAGATCCGTGCCGGCCTTAACTAATTGCTGAAGTAACAGAGCGTATTTTCCCATTCGCTGGACCGGCTTCAGCAAGTAACTGGCGAGATCCATTTTATCGCCAAGCTCCAGCTGCTTCTGCTTGAAGAAGCTCGTGCCGTATTCCGCCATGAGCGAGTCCGAATTTGGCTTGTTTTTATTGTACAGAGCGTAGAGGTAAAACTTCTTCTCCTGCGGAGAAACCGATTCTTATCTCTTCTGTGTGCTGAACGTATTATCAATTATCGAGAGCCAATATGATTAGAACACTCACGTGTCTGAGGAAACATTGTCCCACTAGCATGGGCGATTGCTCACACTGCTCCAATTCGCGCAGAAAGTGCTGGCTGTGAAACTCGTATATTTTCTCGACATTCCCGAAAATCACGTTCCTCTGACCTCGGAGCGCCTGCGGTATGTCCTCCCGTACGAGTTCCGGGATGTAGTTCTTCGCGAGAGAAAATTTACATACGTATTACGCGCTCGGCGTGCGGAATGAATATAGTGAGATTACTCGCAAAAGAGTCTAACGACACACGTAGCATAGCAATTACCTCTATTATGTACTCGAGGGATTTCACGTAGTCTCGTTCAGTCTGTATCATCTCCCTCATTATGAGCAGTATTGTTCTGCAAGGTGAAATTCCTCGTTAACGAAGTTGCACACGAATTAGTACGATGGCGAAATTGCGACGGGGAACAATAGATCTCTGCTCTAACGACGGGACGGCGAAATATCAAGCGAGACACGTGTAAGATTCGACGCGTCCCGGCGATAATATATCGCTCCACTTTACCCTCGATTAACTCAACACGTGTGATTTCTACTGTCTTTAATTAACATTATTCGTTCTCCGTGTAATTAATTCGCGTTCCGGACATTTTCACCGAATCAAATCACGCGGGAATGAGATTAAATCTTGATGATGCCCTTCGGTCGGACATTGATTTCGAAATGTTAAAACGCGCGTGGTGACGACACGAGCATACTTTTTCGCCTTCATTCCCGGCGCGATGCTGGCTGATCTGTGCAGGTGCGAATTCACCGGAGGCTTAACCAGCCTTCGCGGTGCCGGGCTTCGCGGCGGTGTCCGCGGCGGCGAGTCCAGCAGTTGCTCGGCGCTCTCTCGAAGCTCGGCGATGTTGTCCAGCACCGGTCGGCCGCTGCTGCTGGCAGACCCGACGCTTTCCATCGGACAAGCGTACGACGCGCTACTGTCGCTGTCGTCCCAGGACGTCCCTGGAATAGACGCGACTCCGACGTAAAGATACCCATATCGCGATCGTTTGCGGAGAAAAATCTCTTCCCGGCACGACAAATTGTTCGTTATCACCGCGACACGGGAAGAATAATTTTGCTGTTGTAGCAAAACGTCGTTGCGACAGTAGTCGAATCTAATTACACAATTGGCAATTGATACTCTTAACAAATCTTTTCGCTGTCGCTATAGTAACAATTTGCTACGCCAGCGAAAAATTTTTCTTCGCGCTCGTAAGGATCATCCCTCGGGATCGAGAAGGATCTTTTACTTTTCGCCAAAGTGTCGTCCCAAGACGTTGACTCGGAAGCGGCGAAGGATCTTCTTCTCGCGGGGCTTCCTGGAGCGGAGGTGGTCCTGGCAATTTCGAGCGCTTCCGCGCACTTGTTCCTAGCGATGCGGCATTGCTCCAGGAGGACCTCGTTACCGAGCTTCTCCGCCAATGCCATCATCTCGGTGAAGTGTTCGGGCGGCAGAGGCGGCCTCGCCATCAGGAATTGCTGGGACCTCCTCTCGCTCGCCATGCGAGCCTCCTGCGCCCACTCGTAGGCGCGATCCTGCAGGAGGCAGCATCTCGATGTGTCCTCCAGGTACTCGCGTCTGTCCTCTAGCCGGGAGCCGAATCCACGCAGGTGTTGTTTCAAGGATCTCGCGAGCTCGCGCAGCCCGCTCGCGCTCGCCGCCTCGGCAAGGTCGCTCCCTTTGTCCAGGTGTCTCTGCAACACGAAAGACGGGAGGGTGCGAGTCAGAATAACGAACGGCGAGTGCGCGCAACGTTCCGATCGTAATCTGAGCACGGACATTAATCCGCGACGAGAAAGAGAGAGAGAGTCGACGGGTCGTCGAGCGGTTTTCCTAACGCTACTCATTACACGGGGTTCGGGGTCCCGTCTGGGAACTTTATCTAGAATTTCATTTGGAAGTTCGCCGTAAGTGCGGGACCATAACGGAAGCCAGTCGAATATTTCATCCGGCGGCTCTCGTAACGAAGGGAGCGCGATAAAGGGACGGCGGGTCGGCCTCTGTCTCCCGATGAGACGGCGATATCCCGGCCTGGAGCTGCGGAACCTCCCGCGGCGTCCGGCGGAGCTCCGTCCCTAACGGAGGGGCCATAAATCGACATATGGGGGTAAATAATGTCGCGATAAGTCGGGGAGGAGCTGGTACACTGCCGCCACTGTCCGACACGGGGCATCAGCACGCTCGCTCGCTCTCGCAGGGAGAAGAAGCTGGTTAACGCGCGCGTTTACACAGAGAGAGGGAGAGAGAGAGGAGCGAGCGCACGCCCGGGTATTATATCCCGACGCGATGATACACGTACTCGCATTCGTGGAAGCGTGAAATCCACTTAGACACGGCTCGGCTACATCCTGGAACACGCGCTCCGATCGAGTGCCCGTGACGAAAGACACTCTCTCTCTCTCTCTCTCTCTTTTGCGTCCCACGATCGGCCGAGATATAATAGCGCGCGATCGACGGAGGGCCGCGCGGATAGGAATCGCGATCCATTCCGTTCCACGCACGGTTACGCGTTAATATCGACGACGTAACGCGTCCACGATAAGTCGTCCGCGACCGAGAGGGATTTCTCCGGGCGGTTTACTTATTAGGTACACGTAATGGCGCGATTAATATGCGATCGAGGACGCGCGGGATAAAATTGGACGTTCGACGGGGGGAAGGGGGAGAACAGAGAGAGAGAGAGAGAGAAAGGAAGGGAAAAGTATTTTACACGTAACACGCGCACTGTTTCGGCTGACGCAGGATACGCGTCATGTTGCATCCCCGATAAAGCGTATCGCGTCTCCCGCGGCGTTGCGAGACACTTTAATATCGTAAGTAGAAAGTGTACGGATGCGTAACCGCCGCTTTAGACGCGCGTTACCACGCTGACGTCGTGAGCGCGCCGAAGAGAAATACGTGCGGTTTGCATATGAATGACTCGCTCGGAGGAGTGACGCGAGGCTATTCGAGAGGCCGCGTTACATTTTATCGCAATCCATTAAACGGTAATCGTATCTGCGACTGGTAAGCTGCGGAAATTGCGAGCGTTAAAGCGATTAAAGGCGACTATGCGTGCGTCGCTTTATTACGTCTTTATGCGTTTTCCAAGAGCAGTCTCAGTCACTTCGCGATCCTATTCAAATAATAATAACGTCTGTATAGACGAAGGAGAGACGAATGCGTCTGCCCGCCTCTTGCTTGGGGACGCATTTTTGCTAATTGATTTTTTCACATCACTCGGCGAAAGAAATGGGTTCATTAAGAATGATAAATGCATACATTGATACCTGGCGAGACAGAGAGATGCGCGTTAATTCTTTCAGGCGACCAGATATTACTCGCTAGACCGGCGATAAATTTTCACATTATATGTGCCCCATAAATTCGCGTATCAAATTGCATTCTTGGGAAATATAATTACGCGGGATGCCTGTGTTTGCTTTTTTACGACCGGCTCTCTCGATCGATCGCGAATGCGGCACGCTTCGGCGAGATATTCTTCGTTCACCCTTACGCGTCCGCTCGACTCACGTGCGCGTGACTGGTTCCCTCAAGAATCTCGAAGTGACAGAACTATTTTTCTCCTCTCCTCACGGTTGAAGCACGAGACACGTGAGGGAAATGCATGACACGAGGCATTATTACGCTAATGGCACTCTGGGGTATTGAGCAGCACGCAGGCGTTATTACTTACGCGTATCGATATAATCTCGCGCTGATCCATTTAGAGGGAAACGAATATCCTCCAGTTAAATTATCATATTTTACTATAACGCGAAGCGATTAAATTTCTTTTTATTTATCGCCAATAACGCGGTAGAATTTGTCTTTGATTTATCGCCGTAACGCGAAGTAGTATAATTTGAAAGCATAATCGATAAAACGGCTTTATTGATATGCAATTAAAAATTCCTTGGATATAATAGTGCGGTAAAGTGACTTCGCATTTATTAGCGCGTGTAATCACACTCAATATATATACTCATGATAGAACATAATGACTAAATTCACGGTCGAGTATATATAATTTGATATCTTCAACCTTTATTTTGATTTATCATCATGCGGCGACATGCGTTCTCGCGAGAGAGAAAAGCGAAAGAGAGAGAGAAGAGCGTCGGTGTTTTCAGCGACGCACACTTGAGATATAAATTCCACGCCGCCCCTCGGCGCGGCTGAAGTCACTGATATAAAATTGGCATACGATCGACGTGGGCTGTCCGTGCAACGCAATTACGAGAGCGCCGTTGCTGCAAACTGGATTCTGCGAGGTGATCGCCGATTAAAATCGTAAATCAACATTCGCGCAGGAACCGCGCGGCGTCGACAATATTTCTGAATCCCCCGTGCGCGCCGCAGTGCCCGTGCAGCACCAATCGAAATATTGAATCTTCTGTCGAAACGGATCGATTTGCCGGTTCGCCCTCCCGATATCATAAGTGGTTTGTAGAACACGTGAAATATTGCTCCGAGGGTCCGTAATGCGTCTCCTTTCTTTCGCCTCGAATCGTTTAATCAGAGGGCCCGTCTCTCGACGCGAGAGATGTAATCCGCACGAGTAGGCGTGCGACCCTCTTACGCTGGATGGACGGCCGCGTGCATAGGGGGATGATTATTAAACTTGATATACCCAGCGGCGATCTCGCGTCTCGCGCCGGTCGGCATCCGAAGTGATCCGCAATGCTGAACATCGCCCGTTTTCGCCGCCTCAGTTGTTTGCCTCGCGTGCCTCTCGCGTTATCGTTAATTGTTTTCACGAGTAAACCAACCCGCATTCCTACGAAAGTCTGCCAACGATGTGCTAATTCATTGTCGCGCCCTCATTGACGCACATATCTAGACCGGTGCGAATCCTACATCACCGTGAAAGTATACACGAATGCATTAAAATTTACCTTTTGCTACGTGTATCTTCTAGAAATTTACTTAAAGAAAATAAAAAAGCTGTAAAATTGTACTGCCACCTCTTTTCCCGACATGCTGATTAACCATCGCGATGTGGACCGTCGCTTATTTTGGTTTTAGCTTCCGGTAGCGCGGAGGTCGTGCATTTTGATCGTTTAAATCAAGTCGAAATAAGGAATTACGTGCTATGAAATGATGCGTAATATTAATCTTAACAAGAGGACATTATTAATACGTTGAGTACTGCGCCAATTTCGCGTGATTTCCCATTCACGCCGCGTAGGCCGCCGATAATCCACGATCGCCGTATTTGTTACATTTTTGTTATGTCTCTCATTTTATTATGTCTCTTTGTAGGATATATCTTATAATATTTATAAGACTACAAAAATCATTATTACATGAAGGGAGGAGATGACGTGAAAAAACGTTGTGCAATCTGAATGGAGAGCCCAACGTGTTAAACGAATGGATAATTAATGTAAATAATAAATAATTAACGTAGCCTGTACCATTTGTATTTGAAATATCCTCGCTGTAGATATAAGTATCATATGAAGTACCGCATTGTATATTTCGCCAGTTCAGGATTGCTCAAAGGAGGTTTAGGGATTAATTGCGCGCGTTTGTAATTTATCTAAAAAACCATCGAGCAAATAGCGTGAAATACTGCAAAGCACGCGATACATACATGTGCTTTGAAACTTCACGTTTGACACGGTCGTTTAAATTGTATAACAACTGCTTCCGGCGAAATTATATAATATGTATAAACGCGATACAATTTATACGCGAGCACACGTAGAAATAACGAAATACAATACGAACGTAATAACAAAGCGCGATGAGTTACGGATAAATCCGTTTAAACGATTTAAAAATCACCACGGGAGGAGGTTCGTTAAAAATTAAAAGAGCGTTACGCTAAAATTGTTTCGCACATTCGCACGGACGATTATTACGACACGGAATTAAAAGATAAAAGAACTGTAATAGAAGATTGCGGTATGATATTACGACGGAATGTAGAAAGGTGCCTCACGGAGCATAATTATTCGAGCGTGAAACCAGATTAACTAAAACGTGACCGACCTCGCTGATATCGCTGAGATATCTGTTGCCTTCCCTGTGCACACATGTATGTGTGTGTGTGTGTGTGTATGCGCTCATTAATTGACACATGTCGCTGATTATCATAATAAATTGTCAATTAATATCAAGGAAGCATAGCGCGTGCGGACAAAGCCCCAGCAACAGCGTCGAATGTGCAGCGCTGATTATACTTTCTAATTATGGCAGCACACGAGCGACGTCGCATACCTACCGAGGATGGAAAGTCCTATTCGCAGGCGGAGGTTACACTCGGAAGGATCAATCGTGCGACATATCTCTTCGAATGCGGGAGTCACGAGAGTGCTTAATTAACACGCTCCCCTGCCGGAATCTTTCGCAAGCGAGCGAGCGCGCGCGCGCGCGCGACGAACCGCGTCTTCACGATCGACGGTTCGAAATAATCGCGCACTTTGCGATTCAGTAACACCGCTTGCCTGTGCAATCGTGGATTTCAGCGGTTGGCGCAGCGGTGCGAGCAAACGCGGGCAAATTGCGAAAAAAAAAAGAAATAACGAGAAGGAAGAGCGGATGATGAAAGCGCGGAGGGAATACTCGATATCCAGCGGCGTAATTAATTATAGATGAGCGGCACTGCGAGTGCACAATGACTCACATTTTGTTCGGTCATGTTCGTCTTATAAGGTTAGACGTAATCGACCGAGCGTGTGTCATATTCAATGCCGCGATGGTATGC